ACAAACGCACGAACACACGAACACACAAACGCACGAACACACAAACGCACGAACACACAAACGCACGAACACACGAACACACAAACGCACGAACACACAAACGCACGAACACACAAACACATGAGCACACGAACACACAAACGCACGAACACACAAACGCACGAACACACAAACACATGAGCACACGAACACACAAACGCACAAACACACAAACACATGAGCACACGAACACACAAACGCACAAACACACAAACACATGGGCACATGGGCACATGAGGACACGAGTTTGTTTTATTGCCACTACAGTTCTGTTCTTGTGCTGAAGGACTTTGGCCCAAACTCTGTCACTTTTAACATAGAAACAAACATGAGCAAAATACTACAAACTAACATGAAAGGCTTTCACACAAGAATCCACCAGAGCAGGACCTCAGAGACACTGTATGATGACACACAGTGTGATGGGCTATAATCTAGAGACACACTACACACAGTATCCTGTATGTCAGTGTGATGTTGCTGTTGCTGCTGTGTTTTCTTCAGCATAAATAGACTATCTCTGATCGCATGCAAAGTCTAGTTTGTTATTTTTATATTATGTTTTTTTTATATATATAAAATACAATACTGCTTTTTCAGCCCAATAATCATCTGTGTAAAGTGTGAACCCCAGTGTGAGAAAAACACATGAGCACAGTCTGAAAATTGGGACGGTGAAACCTGCTTTTGGGAGATGATAGATCAGGTTTGAATGTAAAACTGCATTTTGCTAAGATTAAATTTTGTTTTGGAAAACTAAAATTATGTTTGGGATTTTGTGTGAGCTACAATATTTTGCAAATGTAAATTTTCTACAGAGAAATGAGACAAAATGTATGTCCTGCTCCCAAAATGCAAAGGAGTATTCTTGTATTTTGGGAGCAGTTGTTTTTCAGTCACACATGAGAGACAAAAGCACTCACTGATCAACCATCATTTTTTAACTTCATCAAATGTTGCTCACTTGGAGAGATTCAACAGTAACCAGACTCACAAAGTATTCTGGATTCTAAAGCGTGTAATCTGGATGCCATGATCATTACACTCACAATTATACACTTACATTATGGCTGTTAGAACTGGATGTTGCCTCCTATACGTTACCACGGCAACAATTTCTCTAGCTTTTACCTCATTGCTGCCACCAAAACAAACCTTCATAATCCATCCTGATCCTTACCCAGGCCAGGGATTCCATTTTTCCTCTTTCTGGGTGTCAGTATTTTATAAAAGCTCTTGGATTGTGGCTTCTGTTTTACTTTTTACCTGTTTCCACTCTGGTGTGTGTGTGTGTGTGTGCATGTGTGTGTGTGTGTGTGTGTGTGTGCGTGTGTGTGTGTGTGTGTGTGTATGTGTGGGGGGGTGTGTGCGTGTGTGTGATTGCTAATGTACTAACCATAACGCGCACACACTCACACACTCCTACAGAGCAGAGAGGAGAGGGGAGTTCATCTGAGCTGGTGTGAAAGGCGACCTGGTACTCCGTCGGGTGCAGAGTGGGTGGCATGGGTGTGGGTGATCTGGGAGAGGGTGCCACTAGAAATGCTTCAGTGTGAAATGGTGAAATATTGAACTGGTGCAGGACTGAATGTGGGTCACTGTTGGAAACTGATGTACAGACACCATCACAAAAAAGTGAAAAATATCACTGGTTCATTTTAAACAGTTTGCAGTGGTCCAAAGTTCTTCTTCACTTACCTTCTGCATTCTGATCCTAATGATTCACCACGTGAGTTTATAAATGCTTTTCACAACTCTCAGGAGTTTTCTGTGGAGGTAAAGTTCACAACTAGAGGAACAGCAAACTTGATGTAACTACTGGAGCTGCTCCATTATGGAAAAAAAAAAAACATCATTATTACAGTCCCTGACAAAAGTCTTGTTGCTTATCCATTTTGTAGAAACAAAAGCTTATAACCTGACTTTAAATTAATCGGTCGGTTTTAGAAATGTCTCATATGAAAGTTAAAACCCTCCCAAATTATGTTCAATATACTAAAATAAATTTGCTTCACTGAAGAAAGATTGATCATTTAATGAACACAGAAAGGTCAGATTTTGGCAAGACAAAAGTTTTGTCGCCTACAGAAAATTGAACAAATAATTTACTTCAAATACAAAAATATTTTGCATAACGTCAGTGAATGAAGTAGTGGTGCTGTGAGATCCATATTTAATATCTTGTATGACTCCATGAGCTTGAAGGACTGCATCCATGCGGTTCGACAATGATTCATACAATTTGTTGATGAAGTCATCAGGAATAGCAAACAAAGCGTCTTACATGCCTCCCAGAGTTCCTCAAGATTCTTTGGTTTTGCCTTCCATGCTTCCTCTTTCATTCTACCCCAGACATGCTCAATGATGTTCATGTCTGGTGACTGGGCTGGCCAGTCCTGGAGCACCTTGATCTTCTTCGCCTTGAGAAACTTTGATGTAGAGATAGAAGTATGTGATGGAGCACCATCCTGCTGCAAAATTTGACCCCTTTTATGGTTGAGAATGTAAGAGGAGCTAATACTTCTTGATATTTTAGGTTATTGATATTGTCTTCCACCCTGCAAATGTCTCGCACAGCCCCAGACTGGGTGGAACCCCAGACCAGGATTTTTCCGCCACCAAACTTAACTGTTTTCTGGGTGAATCTTGGATCCATGCGGGCTCCAGTAGGTCTCCTGCAATATTTGTGGCGGCTGTGATGTAATTCAACTGAGGATTCATCTGAGAAATCCACCTTCTGCCACTTTTCCAGTGTCCATCCTTTTAGCAGGCTGTGGGCCTTGGCAAATGCCACACGGTTTTTTTATTGCCTTTTGTTTAGTGCTGGTTTCTGTGCACTGATTCGACCATGGAGGCCATTTCCAGACAGAATTCTACAAACTGTTGTGGTTGACACAGGGACTTGAGGTGACCAGACCTGGTGGAGTCTGCTGTAGTGGAAAAGGGTCTGGCCTTGGATTTTCGAATCAACAAACGGTCCTCCCAAGCAGTTGTCTTGTGGGGTCTGCCGGACCTGGGCTTGTCAAAAACATCTCCAGTCATTTCAGATCTTTTTCTTATTCTTTGTACTTGACGCTGAGACACATTGAAGGTGTCACCACCTCAGCAGTGGATCTGGTCTTCAGCCTCTTGATAATTAAGGCTTTGGTCTCAGGGTGGATCTTAGGCATGTTGTCAGAGGTCAAGTTGCAGTTGATGTGAAGGTCTGGTGTGCTGGGGTTCTTTTTATACACACCCACTAATTGATTGATCAGTAACTGATCACAGATGAGGCTGTAATCTAGGATTGGGTGCATCATGTGACAAGGCGACAAGACTTTTGTCTTGCCAAGATCTGACCTTTCTGTGTTCATTAAATGATCAATCTTTCTTCAGTGAAGCAAATTTATTTTAGTATATTGAACATAATTTGGGAGGGTTTTAACTTTCATATGAGACATTTCTAAAACCGACCGATTAATTTAAAGTCAGGTTATAAGCTTTTGTTTCTACAAAATGGAGACGAGACTTTTGTCAGGGACTGTATATTTTGGTCAATATTGAAATCACGATTATTCCAATGATTATTTTTTAGTTAGACGATGCATTTATTCAGCATTTCTCTCACAAAAAAATAAAATAAAAATTTCAAACTGAAAATAAATATAAGCTACAAATCTGAACCTTAGAGCAGTTTTGTGATGTATAAAACATAAAATTTGTAAAATAAATTTGAACATGAAATAAGGGAGAGAAAAACATAACTGTATCCAAAATAAACTATATGTCCATCTGTTCTACATTTAAAGAATAACATAAATTATATATATATATATATATATATTATATCCCAAAAATAAACTTTGTTAAGCTTTAGGGCAACTCACACTAGAACTGTGCCGATTGTTGTGGGTTCTATGTTCCACACTCACACCTGCAAAACCGAACTGAGCCATGGCCGATGATGTCATCACTCGACGCCATTTATTTACCTGTGGCATCAGAGCGAACGCTTTAGCCGAGAAAATAAGTCCAGCGGCACAAATATCTGTTAAATCACTATTTACACACGCCGACACACACACAGACACACACACACCCTCAAACAGACACACACAGACACACACACACGCTTAAACAGACACAGAGATGCGCGGATGGGCTATTTTTTCATCCGCAACCGCGACACAAAACTCATCATCCACCCGCTGTCCATTTTGCACCGAAGGTTTTCAAAACCGCACCCGCCCACCATCCGCCGATTGATTTTAGATTTTAGAACAATCATACAGCAAACAAACTAAGGAGCCTCGATAAAAATGCAAACTCTATAGCTCATTCATTTCAAAATTCACTCAGCGTGTATGTTCGCATTCTTAATTGTCCGCAACAACCCCAAACTTACCTGGTTTTCTTGCGCAGCTAATTAACTGACGTTTTCCAACTAGACTATTTTTGCACCTTCTTGCCTTCATGTTGGATGTTGTTACATTCTGAACATTCTGCCATTGCCCGATGTTATTTCAAAGTCATAGCCTCACTCCATCGGTCTTTCTTTAAGTTTTAAATACCCCGAGTGGCAGTCTACGCTATAATGTCTGCGTGTTTTAAAATATATCTGATATCGAAACAAAATGGACAGATCATCTCATCCAGATGAACCTTTATTGAAATCAGGCAATGCCCTCTTTATATTCCAATTGAAATAGGCAAGAAAAATATGCATAACTAAATAAATATGGCCCTTGTGTTGGCAAACAGCTGAAATAAATTGGAAATAATAAAATAAACTGCATATAATATGTGCCTCGTAAACCTTAGTCTATCAATAACCCGACACAACCTTAACCTTCAGAACATAAAAATGATGTCAAATGGGCTAATTAAGGATATGACGTACACTTCATACTACAAGCACAGACAATGAGACTCGTCTTTTCAGACGTAGGTAACAATACTAACAATAACTTTTTTTTTTCATATAGTTCAGTGAACATGATATATACAACAGATCACAACACAACATTGGAGGATAATGTTTTAACATTTGCATTTTGCAATAATAAACTATATACCTCTTAACATATTACACCTTTATTCAAGTTTTAAATTTTTCTTCAAAAAAACTAGTTTGTCCACACTGTCAGAGCTAAGTGCAGACCTAGTGGCAGTAACTATGTCACCTGCTGTGGAAAAAACCCTTTCGCTGGGCACTGAAGTAGCAGGTATGGCCAGGTAACTTTTTGCCAGTATAGCTAGATTAGGATACAGAGATTCGTGACATTTCCACCAGGAAAGCGGCTCAGAGTCAATCGAGGTGCATTCCTTTGCCATGTATGCACAGACTTCTTCTTCAGCTTCTGCTTCAAATTAGGCTGGTTCCTCTGATCAGTTCTGAAGAGTGAGCCAAAAATTTCTGCCATTGCCGACCTCTTTGAAGGAGGTGGGGAGGAGGATACCTCTGACTGTTCTCCCATCACTAACAAAGGAGTGGCCTGTGAAGTTGATGGACTGTCCTCCTCTGCAGACAGGAGGGTATCATTCTGCAATATATGAAATGACAAAGACAACAATATAGTGAGAATTATGGTGTAACAGCAGATTATTCACTTATGAAATCACATTTTATATTTGTATAATAAATATATATATAATTTTTTTTCTCTTAAATGCATACCTGTTCTGCTCTGTCCAGAACTTCTCTGATGAGATCTTCATGGACTTTCTGATGACAAGCTGGATCCAAGTGATTAAGTGTTTTGAATCTGGGGTCCAATGCTGTACATTTATTTAAGAAATCCCGGAGGTCTGGGTCATCATATCGGCCTTGAAAGTTTTCTCTGATGGCATTTTTCATATCTCTTGCAATTGGGGCATCAGCTGTATTTTTTTCTGTGGATTTCAGGATTGTAGTTTGCAGGGGCAGGATCATTGAAATAGATGGAGATGTTTCTGTGCTAATTACTGCAGTGATGGTCTTCAAAGGCTTCATGACTTCAACTATGTTCTCTGCACAGGACAGTTCCTGATCTGAAAGATTTGTGATGTCCTTGGTCCTGACATTCCTCTCTGCCAAAGCAGAGTAAATAGCGGCTTGTTGCTCTAGGTATCTCTCAACCATTTCATAGCTTGAGTTCCAGCGTGTGGCAACATCAATGATGAGACTGTGGTTTGGCAAATCAAGCATGTCCTGTTTGCTTTCTAAAATGTAGGCAGCAGTTGTGCTACGGTGGAAATGTGACACAGTCGATGTCATTTTTGCAAGTACATTCGATACCTGCTTTTGACTTCCAGTGCTTTCTTAGCGACCAGGTTGAGAGTATGGGTAAAGCATGCTATGTGCGGACCTAGCCCTGCCTCACCAACTGCATTAACAATGTTTCTTGCATTGTCAGTGGTCACTGCTATGGTCATCCCAGGCCTTTCTAGATTCCACTCTGACACAATTTCATTTAGCTTCTCAGCAAGGTGACTGCTTGTGTGCTGCTCATATAAGGGGCGCGTTTGCAGGACGACCGTTCTCATCTCCCACGCAGAGCTAATAAAATGCGCTGTTACTGTAAGAAAGCTTTCGGTAGCTCGAGAAGTCCACGAATCCGTCGTGAGAGCGATTGAATGTGCAGCTGACAACTCCTGCTCCACTATCTGTCTTGTTCTGTTGTAAATGCCGGGGACTACAGTTTGTTTCACGTGGCTGCGGGACGGCACGCTGTAGCGAGGTTCGAGCACATGTAGTAAATACTTGAAGCCTACCTCTTCTACTGTGGAGTACGGGCGCATAGCGGATGCAATATAAATCCCAATTGCTTCCGTAATTTTTTTTACTCTACTAGTGTTCGTGTCTAGCGGTTGATGAAATACGGTGGGGAGAAGTAACTGGACACTTTTTTTCGGTCTTGTTCCAGTGATAGGGATGTCTGGGTGATGCCGACGGATATGTGTTAGCATATTTGAAGTGTTCCCGCTCACATAGCCGACAACTGTCGAACAACGAGGACAGACCTTCTTCGTCTTGCCGACCATCCGCTCACCGTCGCTATTATAAGTAACGGGGAACCTGAAGTTCTCCCACACCATTGACTTAAATGATGCAGGTGGGTCTTCTAACTCCTGTGTGTGGCCACCACACGCCATTCTCAGAATTAAAGGTTGTATGGAGGATTTGTTTTTGTTTCAAATTGTCAATGATAGCATTATAGAGGTGCAGTAGCCTTGTAATTATGATGACCAAAAAAAAGAGAATAAAAATTCATCAACTCTGGATGTGGTGGGGCTAAACATTTGCCAATAGATAACGACACTGCCTCGTTATCTGTGAGCTGACAGGCTGTCAATCAAACTCCCTACATTTCTAGCGTAACTGACTTGTCTGCGCACTGCCATTACGTGGTTTACGTACGTCTGTCACGCAGTCCACAGACGCAAGACGCACAGACGCTGTTTACTCCACCAACGCAACAGTTCTTAGCGGCTTTTTTTTTACCTATATCTTCCTCACAGTTCGCACAAAGTTTGTTGCAATGGCGACAAGAATCCAGGAGCAGTTCGCCGCAAAAGAAAGTCCGTTTTTGAGGTCATTGAAAGAAGAAGACAAGGGGAAAAGCAGCGAAGCCAAACTAAGGTGATTCTTGAAGATTCATTCCATCGATGGCGCGACTGAAGCAGACGCAGGGTCTAAAGACTGACGCACTGGTCGCCAAATTACTCCTGGACAGGAAACTTCTGCTTATTATGAAAACGTACTTTATTTCCAAGAGTTAGACAAACATTTTTCAAGACATGAATGCGATATCCTATGTCTGAAAACGTCATTTTCAATGCAAAGAAAGAGTCCGCTTGCAGCTGCGTGTTGTAGTAGTAGCTTCATTCGCACTGAATCTCCCTTCTCTGCACCCCTCTGTGCTCTTCTCCCCGCTCCGCTCTTCTCCCTGCTCCTCGCTTCTTTTCCGTGCACGAAATGTCCGCGCACCCCCTCCCCCTGCTCCTCACTTCTCCGCTTTGCCTAACCAACACTGTAGTTAGTTGTTTACAAGTCATGTGCAGCGATGAGGACTTGTTTTCTAGAAACAAACCTGTTTCTGGCGTAAGGAGGAGGAGGGAGGAGGCGTTTCTACGTAGGGAGCTGTGGGGGAGGGGGGGTGGTTTCATGCATGCACAACATTTGAAAAAGGACAAACAGTCGCTGGATTTCTCGTTCCCTGGAAAATCCTCTATACAACCTTTAACTCACTCGTAACCAGAGAGCCTCAAAACAAACTACCAAGCAGAGATTGTATTGGAAGGCGGAGTTCGAAAAGCAAGATCAATCAAAGTTTTCAGATGCAAATGACTAAATGCGTCCCGAAGGATCTCTCACGCGACACAACAGTTCCTCGTTTGTTTCAGTATTTTTTTTAAATCAAACTTTATTTTGTACCGTGTATTCTACGTGAAAATGCTCGTACCGAACCGTAACCCCTGTACCGTGACGGTTCAATATGAATACGCATACCGTGCCACCCTTAATACACACACAGACACACACAGACACACACAGACACACACAGACACACACAGACACACACAGACACACACACACCAACACATCCTAGACTAGACGCATATGAGTTTGTCTGTGAGTTTATGGAGATAATCAGGACACATGACTCTCTGTGTGTGTTCAGCACCAAGCGCCTGTGGGCACCACTTGAATCCTCACAAATCTATGGCCATTGTGCCCCGGTCCTCCCTTTCACCAGCACGTCAATCATTTCAACTCTATTATATGAGTTTGGAGATTGTCTGATGCACAAATCAAAATTACAATCAAAATTTGATTAATTGCACAGCCTTAATAACTACCACTTCATGACATTATAAGGTGGAGCAAAGCATTTTGAGCTTTGGAGATTAAGACAAACTTGGTTTACTCAAATGTGTGAATGAAACAAAACACAACTGGAGGTGTATTTTTGGGGGGAACAACATTCTCACGTGGCTTAAAACACACAATACTTCACAAGAATCCGTTGTGTGTAATCTCGGAGCTTTAAACGTGTATGGCTCCATCATCAGGCCCCTGAGCGGCATGTTTTGATTGGCTGACTACATCCTGTTTTGGAACGGTGCTGCTTCCTGGTTTGGCTGCCTCCAGCGTGTTGTGAGGCTCTGATTGGCTGATTGCTTCTGGGTAATGGCCTCATTAGAGCTCATTTAGTCCGTCCAAGTGACTGTGGTAAACATATTATGTCACAAACCCGCTGTTCCCACACTCACAGGCAGGGGGCGATGTGACTATGCCCAGTCCATGTCCTCTCCTGACCCCTGCCCTGTCCACAGCTAAACACCTCACACCACACACACATTATCTCCATGGCAACAGAATAACCACCATTACTGTGGTCCACTTATGATTACACAAGGAGACAGACGCATGTTTGCGCAACTGTAAAACACACACACACACATGCAAACACACACACAGACACAACAGACACACACAGACACACACAGACACACACACACACAGACACAGACACAAACACACGATCAAACAGACACACACAGACGCAGACACACACATAAACACAGACACACACACACACACACACAGACGCAGACACACACACACACACACACAGACACACACAGACACAGCACACACACACATACACACAGACACACACACACATCACACACACACACACACACACAAACAGACACACACACATACACAGACACACACACACACACACACACACACACAGACACACAACACACACACACACACACACACACACACACACATACACACACACAGACACACACAACACACACACACGACAGACACACAGACACACACACCACACACACACACACACAACACGACACACACACACAGACACACACACAGACACACACACACACACACACACACACACAGACACACACAACACACACACACACACACACATACAGACACACACAGACACACACATCACACACACACACACAGACACACACGA